GACCTTCTTATTTTATATTCTAGCTTATCAATATTGGTAATTTTAGTTCCTAATTCATACAAAACTATAGACTTAGTATTATTTTGACTTCACAAACATCTAATTTGAACCAGTGCTACATTCAACATACCACATGACACACAAAAATCGATGTTTAACTGTGTTTTGTAGTATTTACTTTTAAATTGAGTAGTGTATAATTCTAAAATTTGAATTATAATCTACAGTTTGATACCAAACTTATTGACATAAATTCGTGAAATAATAGTTCAATAATATTTTGAATGTGAGTCAACAAAAGCGACAACATGGCCTTTCAACTGTGACCTGTCTGGAAAGAGTTTAAAGTGAAAAATAACATTGAAGATATTTTCTGTTGTGTTAGGGTAAAACTGTTTAACTTTTGGTTTCGTTGATTATATTTTTTAACTTTAACTTTTGCTCTTGGAATTGATTTTCTATTGAAAATGACTGAAAAATTCAAGATGGTAAAATGTTACTTACTTTGTAATTTAGTTCTGATAATTGTGTTTTACATCTGTAGCAAAAGAAGTTCTGTAACTGATACAATTCAAATATCATCAAACTTGATACAAGTCAATTCTACATTCTGATTAAGCATTTTTTTTGTGAGCTGTGCAAGTTATTATTGGCTTTGAACGATACAGTCTGGATCTGTATTTATAGTTCTAATGAATGAGCTGGTGCTTTACACATGCTTGCAAATATTTAATGTGAGATCTGTGTTCCTTAAAACCAGGGAAATATATATATTCAGTGTCTGTTGGGTTGAATTTTTTGGCACATGCATTTTGAAATATATGGATAAAAAACCAATGACCACTGCCCTGGCTATCTCTTGTCCTGGGTCATTCACTTTCTTGTGAGAATAATTTCTGTAAAGTTAAACTTCATATGCAGAAATGGCCAGTGATCTTTTATACTGGCAGGTCAGATATATTGTCCTTTATTTTATGATATTGATAACCAAAAGTTATGTGGACATGCTCTGAGAAGGATAGTATTATTATTTAATGGATATATAATGCTATATTTTCTCAGTATAAAACAACATGTGTTACAGATCTAATAGTTCTAGTCACATTTAAAAGTTCTTACAGACCTAGTCGTAGTTTTAACAGATATAGCAGTGGTTCTTAGATATAGATATCCAGTAAAAACACTTTCACTTAAACATTCATCATGTCTTTAATTGTTTATTTTGCATTGAATAAAGAGTGTTGCATTTTGTTACACATCATGTATAGACTTTTTCATTCTCTAAACTCTTAACATAAGGGAAGTTAGGTATGCTCCATAATACATTTCCTGTTGAACCTCCTTTTATTCTGCAGAACTCCTGATTAACACTATCCATATGGGATTGGTCAATGTGACCGACCTTGTAACTACAAAATGACATCAGTTTCCACACTATAACTTTGAATACATTTTGTGTATCTTCATAAAATTTGTCAAGCTTTCAGTAAACATTGTCTTTTATGCACAGAGAATCAGATTTTTTAATTAAATATTTTTACTGAAGATTTGTTTGTGAACATGTGGAGTCAGAATGCTAACTGCTCCAAGTGCAAAGTGATTTTCATGTTAAGATTAAAATTACTTTCCTTCATCTAAAAATTATCAAATTTCATTTGCAAAACCTCTAAGGCATCTTAAATAAATATCAAACATTTTTTTGAATAAAACTTGATATTTTACCTTATTTTCTTGACCATAACTCTAAACAAACTTGGTTGAGTTGACTGACCTTGTAGCCACCATCGAAAAATACGAAATGAATCTAAATTACCCTTTTTTTGTAGAATGATTTAAGATTGTAACAGGAAAGTAAGTTTGTTTATCATAAATATCTTATTACAATCTACACCTGTTTATATTTTATTTTATTGCTTATTGCACTTTGAACAGCGTCTAACCAATAATCCTGCCACACAAGTTATAAATCACTCTGCAAACAAGTAGCTCACATTACCGTATTGAATGATATGATGTACAAGCTGTTCAAGAACATACCTTGTGAAGAATTAATATTTTTTCCATTTGTTACGTACTCTAATGTAATCTAACCTAACAAGTTTTTACTTTTTACATTTTAATTACTTTCAGAATAATAAGTAAAGAATATACCTGAAAAACAAGAAATATAGTACTTACCTTTGACTCCTTGTTATTTTTGCTGTCAGTTGCCAATGAAACTGAAACCTATGTTTTTATATTGATGGTATTAGTACTAAATAATTGTTATTTACCTAAATAATTCACCTACGAATCCATAATAATAACATGCACAAAGCAAATGATGTTCTGTAACTATCATAATTTAACTAGCTTTCTAATTATGACATAACGTCATAGAATAATTCCTAAATCTTCTTGATCTGCACACAGATTTCAAACTGAAGATGAAAAAGTGTAATATAATATGTCATTTGATAGATTAGAACTTTGTTGGTTTTAAATAATATAGTATAAAATATCAGAGAGAAATACTGGCAATTTGTGACCCGTGTTCTATGATAAAGAAATGGTTGTTGCACATACTGTATTTAGTTTTTGTGACCCGTGTTCTGTGATAAAGAAATGGTTGTTGCACATACTGTATTTAGTTTTTTGTGACCTGTGTTCTGTGATAAAGAAATGGTTGTTGCACATACTGTATTTAGTTTTTGTGACCTGTGTTCTGTGATAAAGAAATGGTTGTTGCACCTACTGTAGTACAGTATGTGCAACAACCATTTCTTTATCATAGAACACAGGTCACAAAAACTAAGTTAGTTTTTGTGACCTGTGTTCTGTGATAAGGAAATGGTTGTTGCACATATTGTAGTTAGTTTTCTAATTGTCTGAATCTTGAATACCTGAAGTGTGAAATTATTTTATGGATTTTTGTTTGTGGTGCCATTCAATAGATGGCACCCAATTGTATTTATTTTAGTCTCTAAAAGGTCGTGACATGTACATTTTGTTTTACCTGTGGTGAGAGGGTTAATCTTATGGAAAATCAGTGCCCTGCAAATAGCACATAGATTCAGCTTGTAACAATTATTTTATTTCATGCTACACCTTATTCTGTATCACAAGAATTTATGAATAGTTGTACATACTTGAAATGCTTTTAAGAAAACTTAGAATGATTTTTACTTGAATAGAACACCATAACACTTCAACCCGGAGCCTTTATGAGAGGAACACTTCTTGTGAAGACAGAAAATGGTCAATTTCAAGTGGTTAATCTTGCCCCAGGCCCCGTTCAAAGTTCTGGTGCAACCTCTGTGAGCAAAACACCATCATATCGACTTCAGAATGTGCAGGTGTGTTCTTTTTATTTTTTTTCTTATTGACTACTGATTTGTATTGACATGTGAAACTGTTCATTGTTTATACAGTTTTTATGTTTCTGTTATTAAATAAAGTGCCAGAGAAATAATTAAATTCTTTGTTTATGTGTAGAATTATGTTGCTCCATGAAACTAGCCCTGAATATAAGAAAATGTATAATATAAATGTCTTTCAGGGCATGAATATTGTAATTCTATGTAGTTACTTCTACTTTTTGATATTTGAAAAGAAATCTCACCTTCTTTAGTTTATTTCTAACTGTACTAATAGTCTTTCACCTTCCAATAAAGCTGTTTTTTTGCACAAAGGCTAAATGTGGGTATAACTGAATTATAACTTTTCTGATAATTGTTTAGTAAGCATTAGGTTACAAAATCATCAAGGTTTAGATGGCACAGCCCTACCAGACCTGGCTACTTTCACTTGACATAGGTTATGTAGTGCCTGTCATATTTCATTCTAAAAATAAAACTAGATGAAATTGTTCAAAACTTGACAAGAACTTTCTCAAAGGTATGTAGTTTCAGAAAAATAAAAAACCTTAGTTTGATATATTTAGTTTTATGCATTATTGGTTTCGAAATCTTGGGAAATTATGAAAATGTTTTTATAAGAAATAATTCAAATACTTGCATTTGTTCCTGATTTGTACTTCTTTTGTGTTATAATAAGGTTTTATTGTTCCATAAAGTGTAAATTTTAAGGTATTCTAAACCACACAGTTATTATTTAAGAACAAAAAGAAATATTGCTAACTAAACTAAAACAATAACAAGTCAGCATTTTTTAATTAGGATTTCGTGTGCATGTATTTAACAAATTTTAAACTTGCTTCATGAGATTATTTATTTTCATTTCAAATTTGTGTTTCACTCTGCCCTAAGTAGGTATGATAAAACAATCATATTAACAGTGTGAATAAAATGTTCAATTGCTTGTAATATACACAGAACATCTTTTACTAAGCCTTATACACTTCTATGATCTTGCACTCGGCCATCTAAGCCTAACATTCGTAAATCAGTTTTTTTTGTCCACAGAGGTATTTATTTTGAATTAATACTACAAAATAATATTTAAAATAAATGTTTAAACAACATATGTTTTTAGATGCTAAAAATAAATGAATAAAATCACCTAACCATTAGTAAAGTTTTCAAAAACATTTACTTCAAAGAAACCAACTTCTTTCTTCAATGTTTCTCTTGATTGCTTCATGACAAGTGCTACAGTAAGTAAATTACACATTCTACATAGAGTTTCAAACCACAGAAAAAAAGGGCTCTTGTTACGTGCTTAGTTTATCATTCTATGATATGCCAAACATGAGATATAAGTGTGTCAGATCATGATTGGTTAAAATGTTTAAAATCATGCTTGTATATGTGCATGACCATTTATTTATAGACTAAACTGTTTCAATAGTTTTTTCTTCCTTTTTTCAGTGGTTAAGTTTTTTTTGTAGGTTGTGCATTGTAACTACATTACAGAATGAAAGGGACTTGCTTTTTTTTATATAAGATTAGCTAGAACTCTTTGGTGAGATCTTTTAGTATATTTATTAAAGTCCTAGTCAGTTATGAACTATAAACTTTTATTTCAGCTACTATTATGCTAATAAAAAAACAGTATCATTTCCACTAAAAATGGATGTTTTATTTACGTTCATTAAAACATAAAGATTTTACTTTATTTCCTGACTATCCAAACAGCCCGGAACACAGATTATAAGAACTTTGACACCCCAAGAAATTACAGCAGCACTAACTATGGCTTCACCTACTGTTACAGTGAAACAGGTAAGGTTTTTATTACTTTACAGCAGCACTAACTATGGCTTCACCCACTGTTACAGTGAAACAGGTAAGGTTTTTATTACTTTACAGCAGCACTAACTATGGCTTCACCTACTGTTACAGTGAAACAGGTAAGGTTTTTATTATTTCAAACAGCATGTTATGTGTAAAATTTTCTCTTCCCTATACACCTGTTTTCTCACACAAATAAAATGTGTAGTAGTCCATTCTTCCAGCTAAATATTGTAGACTAAATTTCATGGTTACCAGAGAATTATTATGTCATACATTCCTAGTTTTACAGAATCATCTTGATTTCTAATATTATATTATGCTATTATATAACCTTTAAATTCTAATTCGTGTTATGTTATCAGATGTGGTATAACATGATCAGGTGCTTTTGTTATGGGGTGAAATTAAACAATACCATTAACTTCTTAGCTGTTAAAGCCAATCACACATCATATTGGAAGTTAGCCCAATAAGAAATTGCGACATCTATATCAGTTTCTGTAGTCGAGGACTGGACTTCTGAACACTGGAGATGAGAAGATTTACTGGATGTAATGTATCAAAGCAAACTGAAAAAAAAAAATCACAAGTGAAGTAATTAACAATATCCAAAAGTGAAATAAAGGTGAAAATAAGAAAAACTTAACCACAGCAATTAGAGTATAAGAAGAAATTACATCCTGATACAGAACGTTGTTATATCGGGACACAGACCAAAATACAATGAGATCAGGAACACAGAGAAAGTGAGGCTTAACAATACCTATAAAATAAACCGAAAGTGATTATTTACAATGATTACAGATGACGTTCCAGTACAGACCACTTTCCAAGCATGGTGTCGGAAAAATGTAATTCTGACTGGTGGTTATGTAAAATCATCTAAAATGTGTGAAAATCATGCACTTTGTATGCTTTGCTCTGAGGATTTCTGCACTGCCCATTGAAATTAAATCATTCCTATTTTATATCATTTAGAGTTAGCATCTTTGATAATGTAAAAGATAACTTTGTTTTATAAACTTTCTTTGGACTATGAAAATACATGTGATCATTATGTTTCAGTGTATTGATGAAGGTCTCGTGAATTCAATTTAACTCAAAATTGACTCTAGATGATACGCTGAATGTTTCATGTTTAAATTCATCGATTTCACGTGCTTGAATTTTTTGAAATGGTCTAGACTACAGCAGTTCCAGCCACAAGAACTGTGCTGCAGAACTCTACGGCAGGACCAACACTCAGTAGCGTAAACATACCCCAGCCTGGCACAACAGTAAGTAACTGATATTTTTGTTATACATTACTTTTTTATCCTACATAATTTAACAATTTCCTACGTACACGGAAACTTTCTTCTTTTTATTACTAACATCTTTCCCCATTCAATGTATGCAAGTTATAATCTGTAACTAAAATAATATAAGGTAACGGTAATGCAGTGTGTTTTACTGCCGGATGTTGTGGTAGCACATTCTTGTATGGTATCAAAAAAAGATGTTAAGGAAATTAAATGGTGTAAATTATCATTAAAGTAATGCTTTGATGCCATGAGATGAAGTGTACACTGACAGAAAAATAGTTAAGTTTTTTTTATTTATTATGAATGTGCTTAGATAATGATATAGAGTTGAGGAATTTGATCAGTTTTTAAAGTTGTTCGGTACCTGTTACAATTAGCTCTGCTTATTACAATGCATTTCATGAACTAGTTGAACTGTTTACATGATTTTTTCTAACAAGATGGTGGTCAGTACCTCATCTTCAGCACTCACGCAGCCGCTTACTGTTCAAACGTCCAACATAAACTCACAAGCTGCTTCAACCACCTCTCAGGTAATTATATGTTAATGTATGAAATTCTTTTCAGCAGTGGTTCATGAGTCATAAGTACTGTAAACTATTATGAGCCGAGTGTCGTGTTTTCCCTAGATTTGTTTCTGCTGCATTCACGTCTTTGTTCACTTTTTTTTTCTTCTTTTGTTGCTGTATTTCTATTTTTTGTACTTGTTTTGTTGTTGTATTTCTATTTTTTCTTACTTGTTTTGTTGTTGTATTTCTGTTTTTCTTACTTGCTTTGTTGCTGTATTTCTATTTTTTCTTACTTGTTTTGTTGCTGTATTTCTGTTTTTTCTTACTTGTTTTGTTGCTGTATTTCTATTTTTTTCTTACTTGTTTTGTTGCTGTACTTCTATTTTTCTTACTTGTTTTGTTGCTGTATTTCTGTTTTTTCTTACTTGTTTTGTTGCTGTATTTCTGTTTTTTCTTTCTGGTTTTGTTGCTGTATTTCTATTTTTCTTACTTGTTTTGTTGCTGTATTTCTATTTTTTTCTTCGTAGTTTTGTTCCTGTACTTTTTTTTTTCCTGTTGGTTTTGTTGCTGTATTTCTATTTTTTCTTAGTAGTTTTGTTCCTGTATTTCTTTTTATTCTTGCTAGTTTTGCTACTTTGTTCCTGATCTTTCTTCATAATTTTATTTCTTTATTCCTGACCAGCTGTCTTTACCTGGTATTACCTGAACAGTGGGCCGATGTTTAGCTATTTTTAAACAGAAAGGATGAAAATTTCACTTTTCATGTAACAATACATGTTAACTATTTAATATTAAAAAGAAAGACATATTGTTTTCAAGCATTCTATGAATTTTAAATTAGTTTGAATAAACATTTAAATATAATAATTTTGGCCAATAATATGAATTTTAACACTTTTTATACTTTTTTTTTTTTAAACCTGTTGTTACAAAACTTATTATTAAACACTTATTCCCTAACAATTTGTTGTACCAGGCAATAGATAGCAGCTTATACTTCTCTATTTTATGGCTTAAGGGCTATCAGGCACAATTATTGGCCAAAATCTTTCGAGAATTCCCATAGTATGAATGAAAAGTTTCAGGTCTCTGGGTTCTTTCTTCTTGGAGATATGGTGCTGACTGACTGACACACACAGGCTGTTTTATTAGTATAGATTTTTTCTTTTTGCTAGTTTTGTTACTTTGTTCCCAATTTTTTTCTTTGTGGTTTATTTGTACTACCCATAGTTTTCTCTATAATTTTTTGGCTTTATTGTAGCTTTTTTCAACTAGTTCTATGGCTTTATTCTAGTTTTTTTCAACTAGTTCTATGGCTTTATTCTAGCTTTTTTCTATTAGTTCTATGGCTTTATTCTAGCTTTTTTCTACTAGTTTTGTGGCTTTATTCTAGCTTTTTTCTACTAGTTCTATGGCTTTATTCTAGCTTTTTCAACTAGTTCTATGACTTTGTTCTAGCTTTTTTCAACTACTTTTATGGCTTTGTTCTAGCTTTTTTCTATTAGTTCTATGGCTTTATTCTAGCTTTTTTCAACTAGTTTTGTGGTTTTATTTTAGCTTTTTTTAACTACTTTTATGGCTTTATTCTAGCTTTTTTCTACTAGTTCTATGGCTTTTATTTTAGCCTTTTTCTACTAGTTCTATGGCTTTATTCTAGCTTTTTTCAACTAGTTCTATGACTTTGTTCTAGCTTTTTTCAACTACTTTTATGACTTTGTTCTGGCTTTTTTCAACTACTTTTATGACTTTGTTCTG